GGATAAGAGGGTAAGGAGAAGATAGATAGGCCAGGACGGAAAGAGGAGTGATAATGTAACCGTTTTCAGCAGAACGTTTGTCAAGGGATTGGCTTTACTTGTATCTTTGACGAGTTCACTGATGATACCGACTACGATGCCGGCGAAACGTTTGAGAATGTATCAAGTCCATTGTCAGATGCTGGGAATCATGACAATTACTATGGCAGACGACTTCGGACTAGGTGCGTTACATAGTCGCCCTGACAACAAGACCAAGTTGCGACAACGAGGTTAACCCACTCCCATATTATTTGTGTTGAGGAATGTATCAAGTACATTGTCAGATGCTGGGAATCATGACAACTACTATGGCAGACGACTTCGGACTAGGTGCGTTCTACATGGTCTAAAAACAAGACCAAGTTGCGACAAAGAGGTCAACCCACTTCTCTAAACTTGTAAGCCTTAACTCTCCAAATTTCTCGTCAACGAGGGAGAATTTAAAATCTTCTAATAGAAGTTGTTTGACCTTGTTTTCGCAACTCGGTCACATTGGTAGGAAGACTTAGAGTAACGCACCTTGATTATGCATACATTTGACTCCGGACTAGGTGCGTTCCTCTAAGTCTTCCTGCCAACATGACCAAGTTGCGAAAACCAGGTCAAACAAATTCTATACAACGAAAGGAGACGGCGACCACACAAAAGGCCACACCATCTTGGTCTTCATACCTTCGATTAAAATCTTCTTGCCCATCAAATCCAATAGTCCTATCACCTAAGTTTTATTGTCTCAGAAGAGTTCTCTCTCTCTTTTCAAAATTATCGGCTTATCCTTCCTTACTTTGGCAGCATTCCTTTATTTACAAGATATTATATTACTCATCATCACTCTCCACTCACTTTATTTTGACTAAAGTAATATGGCATTCCAGGCTTGCTCATTCCATTTCATTCGACCATTTACTTTTATGCTGGGACAATAGTATAATGATTATCTCACAAATGATCCCTATAATATTATACTTTGCTTTCGTATTTTATTTGTTTTAGGATTCCCGCAAAACTTGGCTGTATCCAGTTGTGCTGTGATCGATTTGCTCCTTACATTCGGTTCTCGAGCTCCCTCTCCCGCGGCCAGCACAGCGAAGCCAGCTGAAGTTGCCGCCTCTGGCGCGCCATCGGCTTTCCAAGCGTCAACTCCAGGCGCTCGTTTAGCCTCTCAGGCAGGCTTTGAAGTGACCGGCCCTGCGCTCGCATCGACAACGCCTGGCAGCACCGTTTTCTCCTCTCTCACTCGCCTCAACCTGGCCGAGCATGCTGGCTCATTCACCGGCGGCTCGGTGGCACGCACCCGGTCGACCAGCTGCTCGGAATCGCTGTTTGAGCCGGTTCGGCTTCTGTCGTCCGGACTGCGCGGTGAGCCCGTCTCGTGGGCCGCCACAGCTTGTGCACCGCTCGGCTGCACTCAAGCTCAGCTCGGTTTGGCCGCGCCCCTCAATGTCCGTCAGGCATGCCGGGCCGCAGATGACTCTGCGCCATTGTACCAGACCTCGGATCTGGCGGCTATGGTGGCCAGTCGTGGCTTTCCTCCGCGGCAGCTCGAGAGACTTGAGTCTGTGGTCTCGTCAGATGTTGACGGAAAGCGTGAACTGGAGACTGAGGTTGAAGAAGAAGAGGAGACAACGGAAAAAGCAGTAAAGGCACAAAGAGTCGAGATTGAGGAAGACCAGGTGGAAGAAGACGAATTACTCAGATCAGGCGGGGCGGAGAGGAGGGAGGAAGATGTGAAGGTGATTGCAAAGTCAAAGGAATGCGTGAATGAAGAAGAAATGGATTGGGCACAGCGGTTTAGGCTGAAGTATTCGCAGACGGAGGTGCCTGAGAGACTGGCGTCTGAGCTCATTAAGCCAGGTCTGTTAGGATTAGATACTGCTTCCCAATTGAGACCAAGCAAAATAGGCTGTGACCTAGGGGCTATCACAGCCACCGCCCCTGCCTATGCTGCCACATTCACCGATTCTGAATCGAATAAGGGAGCTTGTCACAACAAAGATAGGAAGGGAATAGTGGAGGATTCAGGCCTCGAGTTGATTGTAAACCAAACTAATTCCGAGAAGTCGCTGGAGGAAGCGACGGATAATTGTCTTGAGCTACGTCCTCCCGGAGGGCTGGACGATTATTGCGATCTTTATGGATATGGCAATTATGCGGAACACTGTGCGTAAGTTTATTTATTTTATTGTGTTTTGTGTTATCGAAAATTATAGTATCAACTTATCCCATTAGTATCACAGCAGAAATAGCAACGCCAAAATGGATGACACCTATCAATAATAATAATTTTGCAGCAACAATTTTAATTCACAAGAGTTTATAACTATTACAAACTCTTGGACTGCTCTGATTTCAAAGCCACCTTTTCCTTATACTATTCATCCTCATATATAAACAATTTAGTCAAATTGGTAGGAAAACCTAGAGGAACACACCTAGTCCGGAGTTCATTGTATGCATGATCATTTCCAGTCGGACCTTGGACGTGATATATACCCAGACTTTTCGCCGGCATCGTAGTCGGCCTTGTCAGTGAGCTTCGTCATTATTGGAACTAAACTGCAACTCATAAAAGAAGCAAATGAAACTGATCCTTGGACTAATTGTCTGCTAAACATTCGTGGTATATTTCCTTCCGCCCTGGGCTAATCACCAATCGTATATCTTCGTATCACCTCTTCATTATCACACTTTTTTTTCCTTTGTCAAATAAAATGTGGTATGGTGTGCCTTTTTGAATGGGTTTCGTGAGAACTCTCCAGGTGTATGATCAAACGCGTCTACTGATAGCCAACTCGCTTTAGTCTCCGCCGCATCTATCTTGTTTCTATTCGTAATACCGAGTCTATTACTTCCTATGCTCCAGTCTCTTGTGTGCCAACCCACAAACGTTGTGGTTCTACATTGAACCTAATCAAAACAAGTGGCACCATAACATTTGTGGGTTGACACATAAGAGACTAGAGCATAGGAAGTTATAGACTTGGTCTATAGAGCAAAGGCTTGACCATGACAATTACTCGGGGTCTTTAGCCTCAAGTTAGTCTCATAGACGCAGAGTGTGGGAAATAACGCCTCGAGTAGTACAGATGGGGTGGCAGGGGTCAAGTGAAATACTGGAACCAGGCAGATAGCAGACGGATCCTACGGGGAAAGAGGGAGACTGTGATAAGACTGTGTGACAATAGGGCAGACTCTGATCAACATTCCCAGCAAGAGGGTCAAGGGGAGTGAAGGGAGTGAGGAGGTGGGAAAGCCAGCTAGTAGTGTGGGCAGTTTTCATGAATCCGCTTAAAAGGGCACACCATACCACATTTAGTTGAACAAAGGAAAAAAAGTGTGCCAAAAGAGATGATATTGGAGATCCCATCGGTAGTCCAAATATTTGCTCGCAGATACTGACGTTCAATGTAAAATATGTGATCTCTACTGTCAGGTTGATCAGTCGTGTTAACGATTCTTTCTGTATCGGTTCTGCCTCCAGGATGTCCTCTTCTCAATCCAATATCTCCAGCAAGGCGCTTACCGCCTTCTCATCTGAGCTGTTTATGTACATGGATTGTACATCGAAACTCACCAACCCACAAACGTTGTGGTTCAACATTGAGCCTAATCAAAGCAAGCAGTACCACAACATTTATGGGTTGGCATACAAGAGACTAGGGCATGGGAAGTCATAGATTTGGTATTACGGATAGAAACAGGATAGACGAGACGAAGACCCGATCTAGTTGGCTGAGAGTAGGTCTGTTGTAGCATATACGTGGTCCATGTAGTAAATGCTTGACGATGTGACTTACTCAAAAGGTTTTAGTCTCGAATTAGTCGCCCAGATGCAGGGGAGGAGGAATAACGCCTCGAGTAGCACAAATGGGGTGGCAGCGGTCGAGTGAAACACGTGAACCAGGGAGAGAGCAGACGGATCTTACGGGGCAAGAGAGAGACTGTGATAAGACTTGGAGAAGGAGCACTGCGTAACAATATAGCAGACTGATGAACATTTCCAGCCCAAGGGTGAAGGGGGTGAGAACTCCAGCGTGGGATCTTAAGGGTTTTCATGAATGCCGCTCAAAGGAGCACACCAAAGTACATCGAAATAAGCACGGTAAAATGGGTAACAGTAAAGGCGTGATAGGAGGATATAGGAAATGTGAATAGGCCAGGGCAGAAGGGGAGATACCACAATTATTTAGCGCAAGTTTTGTCAAAGGATCGGCTTCACTTGTCTCTTTGACAATTTGTAATATGGTGCCACGAAAGGCAAAACTCACTGACAATGCCAACTACGATGCCAGCGAAGCGTCTGGGAATGTTCCACGTCCATGGTCTGACTTTGGAAATGATTACGCATACAATGGACCCAGGACAAGGTGCCTTCCTCTAAGTCGTCCTGCCAATATGACCAAGTTACGACAACCTCTATACAACGAAAGGAGACTGCGACCACACAAAAGGCGACACCATCTTGGTCTTCATACCTTCTAATATTTGATAGTTGGATTTACGACAAATTTTATTTCCATCATCATGAAAGTGCTTGACCCCCTTGACTCATCAACCTCAGCTGTTATTTGCTTA